AGAGCTTGATCTACCCAAGAGGATTGATACTGTACTAATATTTTCAACATGTCAACACCTACTCAAACTTCGCATTCTCAACGCCTTCTGAACGTTCTCATAATTAGCGGCACGAGTGACAAACATCAAAGTCGGTAATTGGCTGTTTTGCAAGACTTACTAAAGGTTTTTTTATTTATTGTGAAACAGTCATTAATTGCCTTTTAATAAAAAAAATGATTTTCATGATTTCTGTTTTGAAATTATGCATAATTTTGTATTTTTTATGCCGTAAATTAAATAGCATTTTTAACTTTGAATGGTATACAAACTTACGTAGGTGTCTAGACTCAACGAAATCCGGCATAAATTACGAAACTGTATGGGACTTAGAGAAACATTCACTTTGTTGCATTACTCCATTAAAAAGATATTATCTCTCTGGTAAAGAAATAAATCCAATTTGATCCGATTTTGTAAATTTTTATTTTTATTTTTTTACGTTGCGAAATATAATCATTTGATTCTCTTTTATTGCAGGAAAGAATAAACGCTATACACTTAACAAAAAAGATAGATTCCATTTATAGAGGTAGTGTCATAGCTGAGGTTACTGTTCTTAAGTTCTACGCTAATTTCAGAAGTTGACATTTTGATTTGGAATGCTGAGAATATCCCGACATACATGCAGTTGTCGCTGATGACCAAACTGAAACGGTAATTAAAAGCAATCCAAGTCACATCACACGGGCGATCGCAGAGATACTCCACATATTTGATAGGCATCTGAAAGCAATTGTATATATGGAACTACTCGTGTTTGTGTGCCGCAAGGTTTAACGGAAAAAACTAAATGACACGCATTTCCAACCGGCATCCTTTCTTTAAAAAGCAACTTATTTGAAGAGTAAGCGTTCTCAAAGCAAATTTGTGGCTTTCACAACACAAAGAAAGAAAATCACTTGTAACGCGCCAGGAAAATAACTCACGAACGCCGTAGGCAAAACTGCCCGAATTTTCCTTCCCCGAGTCGAAAACACCAACTGCTTTTATCGGCAGAACCTATTTTTTCCATTCGTCGACAGCTGGGATAGGATGTTCCGTAATTTGCATATTAATATCCTCTTATAGCGACTCCTGCGACGGACTTGTTTCTTTTTTTCGTCACAGAATACACGCGACGCGCTGTCGCTTGGGTTGACGAGGTAAGTCGCTATAAGAGTTTTGCTGACTACTTTTTGGCAATCCCTCCCCGGCAAATCGCACACAAAACACGAACATTTTTCCGGGGTACTTGATTATCTCGTTCACTACATTATTTCTTATTTCTTCCGTTTTTTTTTTTTTGAGTAACTAACGCTATTTGATTTCATTCTCCAATGAAAATTTCTCTTCTCTTTTTCCATGGAAAAACACAAAAATCTTTTCATTTGTACCCTCTTACTTCTTTAAATAATGACCTGCATTCATATTTATTATTAAATGGGAGGAAAAAACAATAAAGTGGAAGGAAGAGAAAATTTGATGGATAAACGAAATCAAATAGCGTTAATTACTCCAAGAACTGATTTATATATATATATATATATATATATATATATATATATATATATATATATATATATATAGAGAGAGAGAGAGAGAGAGAGAGAGAGAGAAATAGAGAAGCAGGCGATAGTGCTCTCAAGCTCTTAACGGTTGCTTCAGGGAAATGTGAAAACTTGACAATTTTAAATCTTTTTATTTGTACCCTCTTACTTCTTTAATGAAATACATTCATAGTTATTATCAATATTTAGCTAAGGATGCTAAACTCAAATATTTAAGTGAAGTGAACACCATACTGGTTGAAGAATTCAAAACCATGCCTACTATCATTCTTGGTGGAATGACGTTGGTGCTACAAGCGCTGGACTTACAAGCCAGTGAAGATTATTCTACAACGAAAAATGTATGGCATGGTTCACCAAGATCATAAACACCTATACACAAAAGAAGCTGATACTGTACATCTGATGATATTGAAAGGGAATTGCATATTACAAGTTCCTTCGGCAAAATTATATGTGAATTTTAGGCAAGGATTGTTCTCAGTTAAACCAATTACAGGCAGAGCAATCAATGAAAATAATCCGGCGATTGTAAGTAGAAACGGTGTCGTCTTCCATCATTACAATCCTCACATCTCATTGATCACCTGGTAGAAAGCGATACAGGTTGGTTGGGATATTCTACTACACACACTGTATTCACCTGCCATTGCATTGCTTCGGATTATCACTGTTTGGATCCCTACCAAATGATCTTAATGGGAAAAAAAACTCTCATCTTCGGGAATCAGTTGAAAACCTCTTAGATCTGTCCATCCAGAAAGATGCTAAGTTCTTGGAGGATGGAGACTGACTGAAAGATGGCGGAATGTATTTGAAGAAAAGGATAGGTATTTGGTTGAATACATCTATGTATGCAGATTGCCACTGGAATTCGATTTAAAAACACGCCACGCTCTTTTTGCGGTCCTAATAGTTTGTATTTTTCTCTCTGTGGAGACTTGCAGGAGACCGATGGTGCTAGCAAAAGTTTTGCAATTAATTATATTATTATAATTGTACTTGTCCCTCCCGTTGTTAGTAAGCAATTACGATCGTTACGCTCTGTAAATACCTCATAAATAAGAAACTATTCCGTTTTGATCGCGTGAAAAACGAAAAAAAATATATATATTAGAGACGCTACTGCGTTTCAGTGAGAAAATGTAAGAAAGAAAGAAACGACCATTACGCCCTGCTAACAGCTGATAAACAATGGATTAGTCTATTTTGATCTCATGGAAATACGGAAAAGACATATTAGAGACGCTACTTCGTTTCAGTGAGAAAATGTAAGAAAGAAAGAAACGACTATTACGCCCTGCTAACAGCTGATAAACAATGGACTAGTCTATTTTGATCTCATGGAAATACGGAAAAGACATATTAGAGACGCTACTTCGTTTCAGTGAGAAAATGTAAGAAAGAAAGAAACGACCATTACGCCCTGCTAACAGCTGATAAACAATGGACTGGTCTATTTTTATCTCATAGAAATATGGAAAAAACATATCAGAGACGCTACTGCGTTTTTTAGTGAGAAAATGTAAGAAAGAGCGGAACGACCATTACGCCCTGCTAACAGCTGATAAACAATGGACTATTCTATTTTGATCTCATGGAAATACGGAAAAGACATATCAGAGACGCTACTTCGTTTCAGTGAGAAAATGTAAGAAAGAAACGACCATTACGCCCTGCTAACAGCTGATAAACAATGGCCTATTCTATTTTGATCTCATGGAAATACGGAAAAGACATATCAGAGACGCTACTGCGTTTTTTAGTGAGAAAATGTAAGAAAGAGAGAAACGACCATTACGTCCTGCTAACAGCTGATAAACAATGGACTAGTCTATTTTCAATGAAATAGAAAAAATTGTCACTTTCAAATCTTTATATTTGTACCCCCTTAATTCTTATAATAACGACCAGCATTTATATTATGATTTCTACAGGTATTTTATCATAGATATCGCCTTAAGCTTATTCAATCATTAAGTTAAGAATTAGGATCATTAATCAGAAAATTCAAATAGGAGAACTGTGAAATTTTTACGAGACTTTCTAGTAAATTATAAATCTAATTATGAAATTGCAAATTAACCCTATTTGGTGTCTCTAGAATAATGATCGTGCGACTAAACAAGCAATGTATCGATAATATATATCGTTTGATTAATCCAACAATCCTAGATTATCCATATCGTTTTTCTTTCGATTTGTTAATGCCTGTCAGTCCATCTTGCTTTGCCAAAAGATGCCGTTTTCAAATAACAACTTGGGAAGATTTTGATCGAACGTCATAAAAGCGGTGTCGGGCGCTACTCAGTCGCGTCCTCCTGTCTTTCGCTTCGTCTTTAGGAAAAAGTACGGTGAGCTGGCATTTCATATTTACGTTTTTAGATGGATGTGTTTGCGAAACATTTTCAGAGTAATGGTGGAGGATGTCGGAGGCGACACTGTGAGCTTAGCAGTAGAATTTATGATTTGCTTATGATAAGCGGATTAGAGCAAACTGGAAAAAGGGGTTTATTCGAAGATGGATACAAAAATAGCTGGTGGGAAGAATCAATTTTTTTTTTATTGAGAGATCGTCTTACTATAGTTGAAGCATTAAAACAAGAAAGAAATCGCGTCACTCAGAAAAAGCAAGATTTTCTCTTCTGTTATCCATTCGTGGATTTCTCGTTCATATTTATCCTCTTCTTCGCCCTGAGCTCGTTTCTTCCATTTACCATTCTTTCTTTGCCATCTTGTCCCGTCTTTCTGCGAAGATTTAAATTTCTTTTTCTTTTTATCTATATTTTTTTATCTATTTAATCTACTTTTTGTATATTTGTATGTTCCTATCTATCTATCTATCTATCTATCTATCTATCTATCTATCTATCTATCTATCTATCTCTTTCTTTAAATATATGTTTGTTCCTATCTATCTATCTATCTATCTATCTATCTATCTATCTATCTATCTATCTAATTCCTTTATATATTTGTCTGTTCCTATCTATCTATCTATCTATCTATCTATCTATCTCATTCTTTTATATATATGTTTGTTTCTCTCTATCTATCTATCTATTTATCTATCTATTTCTTTTAAATTTATGTTTGTTTCTATCTATATATCCATCTATCTCATTCTTTTATATATATGTTTGTTCCTATCTATCTATCTATCTATCTATCTATCTATCTATCTATCTCATTCTTTTATATATATGTTTGTTTCTATCTATCTATCTATCTATCCCTTTCTTTTAAATCTATCTATCTATCTATCTATCTATCTATCTATCTCTTTCTTTTAAATATATGTTTCTATCTATCTATCTATCTATCTATCTATCTATCTATCTATCTATCTATCTCATTCTTTTATATCTATCTATCTATCTATCTATCTATCTATCTCATTCTTTTATATATATGTTTCTATCTATCTATCTATCTATCTATCTATCTATCTATCTATCTAATTCCTTTATATATTTGTCTGTTCCTATCTATCTATCTATCTATCTATCTATCTATCTATCTCAGTCTGTTTTGTTTTCTGCATTGCAAACACACGAGAGATTTATTTCAATATATACTTTAAATAATTGTTACATAATGTTGCTTAAGACCCTCGTCTCATATCATTAATAACGCCTCCCTTATTTGGATTAGCGTCCTCATTTGGATTAGTGTCCTAATCTTTTCCATTTGGATTAATGTCCTTATCTTGGCTGTTATAATCTACCTTATAAGCTTCTGTAAATGGAAGTGGTATTGATAGTAAAAAATGCTAAGAGCTACAAATGATAGGACGTAGTGGAGAGCCATGATCGCACACGTCCTAAAGGGTCATTTTTAGAAAGCGTTCGAAATAATAGAATTTGAATAACTTGAAATGGTCCAGGAATAGAGCTTAATCTAATTTTGATCGGTTTGCAACAGATTTAGTTAGAATGGAGATAAAATGAAGAACATCTTAAAACCTAAAATATATATGACGACTATATTGGGTTAGGTCATAAATGATTTCTGTTTTTAAGAACCAATTATAATAACGAGTGTATCATTGTAACCACTAATCATAGACGTAGACTACACTAACATACGGCAATGTTCAATGCAAAAGACAGTGGATGGACAGAGATAAATCTTCAAAAACAGGCCCCTAAATCTGAGCTCCATGGAAGACATACAACGTTGTGCTTTTGTTGGGATCGTTTGGGTATTATATTAGCGTTATTAAATTATTTAATTAATTCACGCCAAGCAAGACGATAACGCCTGTGAGACACAATAGGCTAGTGGAAGAGGAACGAGAAGACTTTTGAAGGAACCCAGTCATAAACAGGAAACATTTGATAAAACCCTACTCTAGTTCAAAAGACCGGTGAAGAGTCTGAATTGAATTGGGCGAAGTTATCACTATCTATAAAAGGCAGGATGTGTGTGTGTGTGTGTGTGTGTGTGTGTGTAACGAATGCACGGCCGGAATTCTCGACGGATTTGCACCAAAATTTACATGCACATGCTCCAAGTTAGCGGAAAGGTCAAGACCGACTTTGCATTTCCCAACTCCCATCTATAGTGAAAATAATCGATTTTTTCACGCTTCTACGGCATTCTACAGTTTGCGGCCATTTTCTACCTGCCAGAGTGAGAGCCTATAGCTGGCTGCCACGAATAGGCAGGAAGATTCTATTGGCCAGCGTGAGAACCAACAGCTGACTGACACGAATATTAACTAGCATGCTAGCATGCGAAAAAATCGATAGCTGCATTCGTCACAAGTGGGAAAAATTTAAATCTGCATGCCACTTTACTCCAATTGGCTCATTCGCTTGCTTAAACTCAAGGTTGATTCTGATTCCGCAGAACTGAGTTGGGTGTGAAAAAGTATTTGTTGTTAACATCTTTTTTTCATTCGGATTTTCCAGTTACGAGTCCTTTTTTTAAAGCTGATCGTTTTGTGTTCATTTTGTTTTGTTCTTTTTTCGTAACAGATTTAATGTCTAGTATAGAGCTTAGAAAAAATTCGCAGTGTGAGATAGGCAAGAAGTAAGGCATGTAGCAACATCAGCACGGCAAAGGGCACTCTTTTAAAGGTAAGGAAAGGCAAAAATATTTTAAGTCAAGTGATAGTGATTGCTGTATGAGTCGTACGATTTTTGAATCAAGTACGGGAAACGCCGGGCCATGCTGCTAGTATACTATAATTGTATAATAATTATACGTCCAAAAGATTCACAAAATGTGTCTATAAAGACAAGACTGCATACAGCAAAATAACTGGAAATCATTTTAGAATCCTGTGCAGATCTATCTATCTATCTATGTCTGTTCATTATCTATCTATCTATCTATCTATCTATCTAAACACAATCATACTTATTCATATGAGCCTCATCACACCTACCTATCGCAATCTGTTCTGATCTATCTATCTATCTATCTATCTATCTATCTATCTATCTATCTGAATCTGTCCTGACTTACCTATCTGAGGTACATCATACCTATCTATCTCAGTCAGTACGGATCTATCTATCTATCTATCTATCTATCTATATATATATATATATATATATATATATATATATATATGAATTTGTTCTCGTCTGTCCATCTGAGCCACATCATACGTATCTGTATCAGTATGTTTATATCTATCTATCTATCTATCTATCTATCTATCTATCTATCTATCTAAACACAATCATACTTATTCATATTAGCCTCATCATACCTACTTATCTCAATCTGTTCGTATCTATCTATCTATCTATCTATCTATCTATCTATCTATCTATCTATCTATCTCAGTTTGTTTTGATGTTCTTTAATGCAGATACACTGGGAGAGAGCGCATAATCTGCCCTGATCAGTAATTTGAATGTCGTCTATTCTGAATCTGTTCTGGTCTATCCATCTGAGGTACATCATATCTCTCTATCTCAGTCTCTACAGATCTATCTATCTATCTATCTATCTATCTATCTATCTATCTATCTATCTATCTATCTCAGTCTGTTTTGATGTTCTGTTGTGTAGATACACGAAGGATTTTTAAGAATAAATTGAAAAAGTGTTGCTTGACTCAGGCCGGCGAGTTTCCGATCACAGCCGTTCAGATCGGTGCGTCTAGCCAATTCCTGTCGCAGACTCCTGCTCAGTACATTTTGTATTTGTTCACCTGTGATTTAGACAGCAACTATGCCGAGTGGGTCTTAATTACAGTACTTGGGCGAGAGCCCATAATCTGCTATGACCAGTAATTTGAATGTCGTCTATTTACTAAAACCCTCGGTCACAATGGCTTTTGATTACGTGCTATCTCAACCATCGACGTCTCCCGAACAGTTCCGCATATGAAATTTCAATCACAAGGTTTGGGTCAATACGTGACCAAACGTGTCGCACACTTCGATCGCCTCTCTAGACATAACATCAAGTAGGCACTATAGTTAGATTCGAACCCAATTCTTATGATTGGAAAGTGAAGGTTGCAAGTCATCGGTCAGTCTCCCATAAGTAAATGGATAACAGCTGTCTATTTGCCAATCGAGCATGACCACCGCTGACAGGTTGACCTACACCTGATTTTTGCCCGAACGTGAGATCGGCAGTGACAGACACTAACGGCTGACGTGTCCGATAAAAACTGCAAACTAAATCTTTGTTTTCGGACAGGCGGTTAGGACTCTCAGTATGAGGATCATTATGATTTCTGTAATATTTTGTGAGTCCAGAGTGGCTCTTTGTCGCATACATCACAGGTAAGCGGTTGATAACGAATTGAGCATAGTCTGTTGGAGGTTCGACTAGGTGTCTCCTGAGGTAGCTTTGAAATTCTGTGTTTGACAAGTTGTGGGGAAAATTGTGAAAATGGCCTACCTCGGAAACGCCTGCGAATCTGTGCGGTGTGCAAAACTCCAGTTCTCCAGCGGTAAAAGGAACCAAAATGGCGGCGCCCATATTTTATGCCGGGCGGTCTCGGTTAGTTAACGCGAAATCTCGTTGTCTCGTCATTCGCATGGTCGGTCCTCGGCTGTATAAAGCAGGCGCGTTTTTGCTGTTCCGGATCAGCAGGCTTTTGGCTCGTGAGAAGGTTGGACGTGCGACACCGGGTTTTTTTTGGTTACCCTCCTCACGGTTCTTTGTTCCTACCTGCTATTGTCAGTTTAGTTGTTGTGTTACTTCCCACACAAGTATAATCGGCCGCACACATGAGAAGCATCCGCCACATCCTGGGAATAGTATGGCAGGACAGGGTGCCAAACACTGATGTCCTGTCACGAACAGGACTGCCCAACATGTACACACTGCTCAGACAGCGCAGACTCCGTTGGTTGGGCTGCGTCCAAGCTATGCCAAACTCCCAAAACCTCCTGTATGGAGAGCTGGACTCTGGAAGAAGATCCGCCGGTACCTGGACGTCGTGAGGCGCGACATGAAAGCTGCGAACATCAACACAGATTCCTGAGAGAGCTTGGTAGTCATACGATCCAAGTGGAGGGGAACCCTGACCAAACACCTCAAGTCAGGGTAGGAGATGTCTTCACGGAAAGGCGGGTCCGCAGGAATAACAACTCTAACAGGCCAAAGACAGAACACACATTCGACCTCTGCAACAGAGATTGTCACTCCCGCATCGGTCTCTACAATCACAGACGTTGATGGTCCAGCCAAGTAGACAACTAGGACGCTACCCATGGTCAATTCTGACCGACAGAGGCCTGCACACATGGCGAAACAAAATGAAAAAAATATGGGTCTACTTTGTCCTTTTACAGCTTATTGTTTTGCATGGAATGACCTACATTCTTCGCATATTTGTCTCCACTTGTTTCTGTCGCTAGCATGGGCTTCCCAATTGTGAAGGTTGAAATCGAATTGCGACAGCGAGTCTTTAATCTCGTCCTTGAAACACAACTTAAGTTTTTGGTTGAGGACTTTTTTCTTCAGCCCGAACATACTCTCATGTGGATACAACAGTTTTGAATACTAAAGACCAGCGGCCAATAGTATACACAAATGATAATCGACCATCTCTGGGAGAGGTACATAACTGTTGTGGTAAAACCACTTCTACAGGAGAATGAACTCTCTAGAGAGCTACAATGCCTGGAGACTTTTTTGAAGAGGAATGATTCCACCCTGCAGAAGTTGTTACGAATACCACGACTGTTGGGAAAAGAAGAGTTAATGGGTTTAGGCGTTTTTCTTGAGCTAGTTTAGGTTTATATCTTTACCTTTTTTTTTTTACTCATGATGTGTTATTTTGGTAAGGGTAAGGCCTAGGATAGTCGTAGCAGTCGGTCGTCTAATCTAAAATGTGCAGGAAGGGAACTGAAGCAGACTGCAACAAAATATTTGCTTCAGGGTTGCCCACCTTGAGGTGCTTCTAGGGACACAGTTCCATGCGCAACATACCATTGCAAGAACCCTGATATTATGAATCTGTTGATAAGAGAAACCTCTCAAGACGCTACTCAAGAGTTAGGGCTCCTAACTACCAGTCGGGAACAGCAACCAGATAACTGCCAACCCTGTACTCTCAGTATGAAGGGACATATTCCCCATCCACGCATAGCACAAACAGTTCACGACAGAAACACTATTAAGGTTAGAGGAAAGGAAAGGAACTAGGAACCCCTTCCTAAAAAGGATACAAGGGATGAGCCTCAACTCCTGTTTAAGAGATCACGTGGTATGAGCAATTTTTGCTTTGGCTTCCGTAGGGGAATCAATTTACAGTGAATTGAAATAAAAAAAAAACTTGAGGTCCTTATTAACTTTTATAAATATTAATAATTTTTTCCATATTCCTGATCTGCTTAACGCAGTGGTTCATACATTTTTAGCAATGCACCCAAAATTTTTAAAATCCTTATTCCTCCTTATTGTGACATATAATTCTTAATATTCGAAAAATGAACTCCTACTGACGTGGAGGAAGCCTAAAAGGCGATTAACTTATCTTTCTTTAAGAAATTTAAACAGCATATATACAATAGTATTATCATTTAATTTTAGAATTTTACAATATTTATAAAAATATTGTGTCACTAATATATATATATATATATATATATATATATATATATATATATATATTATACAGTACGTACTGTGTATGCAGTGTATGTATTAATTTGCACACTAACTCATATTCACATAGACTTACTAGAAAAAGATTTACTGGTAACAATTCATTCTAGTAATGCCTCCTGCCTCTCCTTAAAAATCATCGGGTGGCATTTATGCTAGTTCCTCGGGTTTGGGAGGGGTATCTCTTGATTGGCCCTTCATCACAATAGGTAGGGAGAAGTAGATACAATAAGAAACAATAAACTACAGAAGAACTCAAAATTGATCACTGCATTTAAGTATTGCAGTAATATTTAAGCTTACCTTTTAAAAGTTCTACGATAATTTTTCTGTTGCCACTTTTATGTACGTTGATCCTTACTTTCCGTACAAACAATTATTTTTTTTATGGGTGACTTTCGCTGGATTTCGTAATTAATTTGGATTATTCCCAAATTTATTTCCAAGTTATAAAAATTGTTATCGTAAAAAAAAAAAAAAAAAAAGAAAAGAAAAAAAAATCATCGCAAAAAATCACGTAGAAAAATCGCCGAAAACAATTGCAGTGATGAAAACTTGGGAATCCAAAATTTCAGGATTGTTCTGATCCGGCCCAGAATGTTTTTAATTTGGTCATGAAGTCAACCTGATTCCAAAATGGTAAAGTTGAAAACGTGTGACGCAGTGACATACTGACATTCGTATTTATTTATATAGAATCAGAACAATTATGAAAACATAATTATTCTGGTCGCAACGTCTATAGTGCAACTCCACTGAAAATCCCCAAAGAATGAAAAGAAATTTTTCATTAATATATCTGTACAGAGGCAGCATTGCAAATGAAGATAGACGTATCCATATGTTACATAGACTACACAAGTGCATTTAATAAGATCTATTGAGCTGCCAGGAAAACTTGATTTGTCTTGCGAATATATTAAATAATCCAGAATATATACCAGAAGTAAACTGAGAGAAAATTAATTGAGTAAGAACGGAGAAAAATGAAAAGAAAAAAAAGAAAAAAAAAAGAAGCGTAAGACAAAGATGAAGTTTTTCAACGGATTTATTTAACATATACAGCTGAGGCAATCCTAAACGAAGTATAAAACTGTTATTGGACCTTACCCATAATAACATAATGGACTATTCCATACCTAATAAATAATGCGCCTCAAGAGGAAGCAGGGGTTTCCGTCTGAAGCCGGGCGATCGGCTGATCGGTTGAACTCTCTGCCTTCGGGTGGGGAGGAACCCGAAAGAGGCTACGCCGAAGGGCGGATTCTCTTTCGGGGGAGGTAAACCGACCCTGAACCCGTTTATACGGGTTCAATGGGCATATTTTGGCCGAGCCCACGGTCTCGGAGATCCCACATTAAAAAGCCCTTGTACCACATGACGTCCTCGTGGGAGGGTGACTGAATATCGTTCCGTCTGAAGTCGGGCGACCGGCTGAACGGCTGATCGGTTGAACTCTCTACCTTCGGGCGGGAGGAACCCGAACGAGGCTACGCCGAAGGGCGGAATCTCTTTCGGGGAGGTAAACCGACCCTGAACCCGTTTATACAGGTTCAAAGGGCATATTTTTGGTCGATCCCACGTTAAACCGGCCTTGTGCCACATGATGCCCTCGTGGGGTGGGGGGTTGACTAAATACTGTTCCGTCTGAAGTCGGAGTTCAGCCTGAAGTCTGAAGTCAGTCAGTCAAGTCAGAGGCAGTCCGAAACAGAGTCGTGTTCAGACAATTACTACTAAACCTGATTGTCCGTACTAACACTTTTCTACCTCTCTGTATATATTCCTGTTTGTAATATATCTGTTTTATTCCATATCCGCCTTCGAGTTCTTCTTTATTGGTTCTACCTTGGACTATCACCGTAGTACAAGGAACCGGACCATAACAAATACTTTCCAAAGATTTATTTTTGGTGAGCACGTCTTACCAATATATGACACGTGTACAGTGTTGCTGGTAGAGACAAAAATAAAACTGCCGGAACTCTTACAGAGGATAGTAAAGGAAAGCAGGATAAAATGACTCGCCATCAATTGTAAAAAGACAGAATATATGGTTGTCAGCAAGAGAAACAGCCCAAGTTGGGGATGTCAAAATCAACAAGTACCGACGGTTGAGTGATTGAGACGTTTGCTAGCGAGGTCAGTGACGGTGTGTTTAAGCCACCTGGTAGGGTGGGAATTAGTCTTTTTTTATGTATCAAGTCCTTTCAAGACGTAGGCGATCATGACTCTCCATTTCCCCTTAACTTTTTTTGGCTCTCAGTAAGTTTCGTATCCCCGCCAAGACCACGTTCTGTTATCACCTTACTTAACCCCGCCGGGTATGTCATGCATTGCTTTCCCTTGTCTCTTTCCCCCTCTATTCGACCTGTGAGTATCAGATTCTCCATGCCCTCTTTTCTTGTTACGTGTCTCAGAAATTTCATATGCCTCTTCCTTATGTTAAGTATAAGCTTCCTCCTTGTTTGCATTCTTTTCCAAGACCTCATCGTTGCTCACACGCTCGCTCCATGATCCTTAGCATCACCGAACACACATGTATTTGCAAACGGGTGTAGAGAGATAGTCTTGTCTATATTATTGAAAATACTATCTAGCACCCAACAGTCTTGATAGGAAGGGAAAGGGAGTTAAGTAGAGAGAGACGGAGACTCATGTAAGAATTCTCTGGAGATTCAAATGAGAGTTCCCTAACCAGCGGGAGATGTTCGCGGACATAAACTACCAGGAAAACTTGATTTGTCTTGGGAATATATTAGATAGAAAATTGATTGAATAAGAAAGCAAAAAAAAAAATTATAAAAAAAAGGGTAAGACAAAGATGAAGTTTATCAATGGATTTATTTAAGATATGCAGCCGATACGTATAAGATACGTATACAGTGTTGCTGGTAGAGACAGAAATAAAACTGGTGGAACTCTTAGAGAAGATAGTAAAGGAAAGCAGGAAGAAAGGACTCACTATCAATTGTAAAAAGTCAGAATGTATGGTTGTCAGCAAGAGAAACAGCCCATTTTGGAGAAGTCAAAATCAAGCAACTACCGATGGTCGAAAAGGTGACACTGAAATCTGAATAGCAAAATATGCCTTCCAAAAGCGAAACAAAGTACAGTGGAACATCGGATCATGAACTCCTCTCATCACAAACGAATCGGTTCACGAACAAATTTTCCGCACAAAAAATAAACGGTGTCGACAGCGACAGGAAGGGAGAACGTTCCTCGTTCTTTGAGCCGCGAAATTTGTGCCGAATGAGAGAAGGTGAGAAGTGTCGTGAAACGATATCAGCCTGATAAAGCAGTAGCAAGAGACAGCATAAACATTTCCAGTGACAATGCCATGTCTCATTTCAGAAACATTTTAAAATGTGGACAAAACAAATCTCATTGGACAATTTTTTTAATGAGACAGAAGCCCATTGAGTCACAAGCTGAGTCGAATGGTAAGAAGAAAGAGAAAATAGAAAGAGGCGAAAACCCCAGAGAGTTTCTTGATTTTACTCCCCCTTCCAAATGATAAAATCTCTCCATTTCCCCTTCAACTTACACCATCAACTCCCCTCCACACTGGTTCGATAAAATTAAATTTTTCGTCTATATTTCATCTGTTTAGTGTTTACTGCTATCGGTACTGATAGCAGACACGGAAAAGAAACTACAAAACCTCCTACAGAAGGTAGCGAGGGAGAGCAAGAAGAAGGGACTAAGCATAAATTATAAAACGTCAGAATGCATGGTCATCAGTAAAAAGATGAACCCGAAATGCGATTTACAGGTCGAGGACATTAAATCAAGCCTATGCGTAAGTTTAATTATCTGGGAAATGTCTTGACGGAGGACGGTAGGTGCGGCGCTGAGATCCGAAGACGGATTGGGATGGCCAAGGAAGCATTCCAAAAGCTGGGCAGAGTACTGCGATACAGGAGGATTTCGTTTGTAACAAAGAAAAGAAGACTGAGCTGCTACGTGACATCTGTCCTCTTATACGGCAGCGAATGTTGGACGGTCTCCTCAAAGATGAAGAAGAGACTCGAGGCAGCGGAGATGTGGTTCTACCGAAGGATGCTAAGTATATCAAGGAGCGAGCATGTGAGCAACGATGAGGTCTTGGAGAGGAGGCAAACGGTGAGGAAGCTTATACTTAACACCATGAAGAAGCAGCTGACATTTCTGGGACACCTAATGAGAAAGGAGGCCTTGGAGAATCTGATACTCACAGGTCGAATAGAAGATAAAAGAGACAAGGGAAAGCAACACATGACATACCTGGTGGGCTTAAGCAAGTGTATGACAAAATGTGGTCTGGAGAAGTTGGCAGATGCACGAAACATTGAGAGCTACAAGGGATAGAGAGAAGTGGAGGGCCATGATCACCTACGTCCTGAAAGGACACGGCACATAAACAGAAAAAAAAAGTGTTTATCTTTCTTTAGATTTTCATTGATGTTCATTTTATTTTCGGTATGAATTGGTGCGCAAAGTAATCGCTTAAATAAGTAATCATCTGAGGTCCAGGAACGGATTAATCCATTTTACATTGATTCCTATAGGGAGAATACTTTCGGTTTACGCAATTTTCGGGTCACGAACAAATTAAATTCGTTAAACGAGGTTCCACTGTATAATAGGAAGCTTTCGTTAGAAACATACAAAAAAAATTGCTAAATTATGTAATATTAGCTTTTCTATCGCGTACTGATTGCTTCCTATCTCACCGATGACGAGATTTGACGCAATGGCGGTTCTATAGAAGGATGCTGAGAATACTATGGGATGAGCGTGTGACCAACAAGGAAATTTTAAGGAAAATGCAAATGAAAAGCGGACATATACTTAGAATTAGAAAGAGACGGGTGAAATTCCATTATGAGGAAGGACAGCTGAGAGAATTTGACACTCATAAGGCGTATCAAAAGCAAGAAGGACAGCACGAAGCAGCGAGTAAACGTACAAAAGCTTGTGTAAATGATCAGGGAATTTGAATTATAGGAAAAAAACAAACATTACGAACAGCTACAAAGAATAGGAGATGGTGGAGAGCCATGATAGCTCACGTCTTGAAAGAATATTCATTCATTTGTTCAGTTAGGTCATTTTATTTCTCTTATTTCTGTTGTAATCGTGATTCCTGGTGACATTCAAGGCAGAATAGTGCAATGGCTTGCAGGTTCCTTTTGCACCGGGGATGTTAAGGTTACCTCATCCGTGCTCTCAGACGTTCCTCCTCCCACTGGCAAAGCCGTTTTATCCCTAAGCTAGTATTCCAAATCTAGTATAATATATCTGTAACATTCTCAAAACATGGTTTGCATTGTTGAACAGCAATTTACCAGCAATAATAATATTTGGTATGCTAATCTAGATGCCGTGCAGTCTGTTTAATATGAATAAATTCAATAGCGGGCAAAATCTCTAAATGAACGATTTCGAAATCTGGTTTGCAATTACTGAGGATACATTTCCCGTTAATTTTGTTTTAATAACAATGATCCTGTTTGCAAATGTTGGTTAAAAATACTCGACTTTGTAAATTTTGAGAACATTTTGTAAATTTTTCAGAGTTTCTCTAACTTGTGTAAAAATGTGAAACTTCGAAATTTTGATAAAAATCATAAAACATTTGCTAAATAAACTGAAAATCAGGTTTATAAATAGCCTAAAAATATTAATCATCAACAAAAATCTTTCCACTTGCCATACACATTAGTATGACCTCTATACGGGCCCCTGTCAAGGAAGGGTTACATAGACATTAAACTGACAGTCACCATGCAGTGTTGATTTTTATATCCACGCTGTCAATATCTATCTATCTATCTATCTATCTATCTATCTGGGCTGTGTGACCCAATGGTTAGATGGTTAGAGTTCTGATAATGAGATACTGGTCTCAAACATGGCCGATTTGTCAAGGAAGTGATTTTTCATAATACCAGCCTTGGGGATGTGATGCCAGCATCCGACACCGTTGGGATGGGCCTAAAAACCATACCACCGGTGTACCCTAGTCTTGTAATTGGGTTGATAAAACTGTATGGAAACCGTCAATGGGTGTGCTAATCGTCGAGAGTTTGAAGTATACCGTCCTTTTTCAACTACTGATCACGTTAAATTGGGCGTTCTCTCTCAGATGCCGTCACTAAGTTCCGCTTAACACCTCTGAAGAAGTTGAAAGAAAAAATAACTTGAGCAGATATTTGCAACAAGGGATAATCAGACAAACTGAAAAAATGGTGTATTATGTTTTAATATGAAGTGTTATCGTAGACAAATTTTATATCAAATATAAAATTATTATAAGTACTGGCTTTATTAAGAATAGTTTTATTTTCTGTAAAAAAAAAAGGCATGATGGCGACTCTGATTACGGAATCGGGGAGCCGAGTTTGAATTCCAGACGAATCCATCGCATTCACTTAAGTGCTAATACCCCTGGGAAAGGTATGAATCCTCTTTTTCGCCCCCAACAGCTATGGGTAAATAGCAGGACAAACCGACTTTTAATGGCAACTGGTCTATCGCAGAAAGAAATGACAAACTACTGCGGGAAAAAAAAACTGCTTAGTCAGTCATGTATTGAAAGATACATGATCGCCTAAACTGACTGAACTTTTATACTGTCTGCAATAACTCTGGCATACCATTTTTAGTACAAAATTATAAACAAAACTACAGTAAAAGGACTAATAATTTTGTCAAAACTTTCTAAAAAACAAACTTCCGTTTTTATGATCATAAATCCAGAATAGAGAATCCGAATGCAAGAAACATAAAAGTAAAAATATAGTTGCCCACAAAATGAGGGATTGTATATAAACCGTTGTTTCAATGGATATGACCTCCACAACTCGAAAATACTATGATATTTTAGCATATATATATACGAGGGAAAGTCCTAAATTAGCTGCACCCTTGTCCAATGATATGTTATACCGAAAGTCTGGATAATTTTTGACTTACCCTCGTATATATATATATATATATATATATATATATATATATATATGTACCGGGCGTAAGAGCAAAATTGTCCAAATCCTGTAACAGCATAATTGCCTCTGCCACAAAATGTTTAGTATCTAAAAAAAACACTAAAGCAACTGAGTTTATTTTTTCCAGGTTTTCAGATAAGACGATTAGCCATCTTGATATCATTTTATCGTAAGAATAACTGAAAAACCCTTTGAGTTATTCAGCTAGAAGGAGAACAGGTGAAATCGCTTTGTGTCAGCCCCACTATATCTTCTCAAATGAGCAATGGTGTGAGAAAAAAGGTCATTCTGGCCTTTACTAATGGTACCAACATTCATACTCTGGTTTCCATCTTCAAAGTCCATTCAAGAATAATCAAGAGTACAGTGAATAAGTTTAAAAACTTACCCCAGGACAGAAAGTGAGAAGGTTAGAGAGGGCGAGGATCATCTTGAATAAGTTGGAAAATGATTCTGGAATTCTTTTTTTTTTTTTTTTTTTTTTTAAGAATTGGTCAAACTCAAACAAAAACATTGTTTTCAATCGTTATGAGTCTACTGATTGAATAGAATTTTATTATAAACAATTGTCTTGTAAATGGAATTTTTAAAGCATTCTGAATGTAAAAATAAAGAAAAAAGTGTGCAAGACAATAAGAAACACTACATGCCAAAAAAATAGTGAAGTTTTGTTGAAATCGGTTGAAAAATGTAGGTAGCCTTTCTGTAATCTTTTAGTTTTGCAATTTATGATTTTTACTTATTGAATACTGTAAAAATATTGCATATTTTGATTGTGATGATTCATAATTAGAATTCTGATTTGAATATATTTTCCACTCGTTGTTTCTAATACAAAAAATATTAACTTTATATGGGTTTATTAATTATGATCAAACAAATCTTATTCATTTAGTAGCTTTTCTGTAATAATAATCTTTTATAATTTATGATTTTTACTTATTGAATACAGTAAAAAAATTGGACACCATGTGTATTTAAAGTAGTTTCCCGTTCCGGTTATTATTTTTAGTTAGGACTTGTGTATGTTTAGATTTCATTATCTTTCCCTAAAGATAAAGAATTTATTCCGATGTTTGTATTCGTACAATCAGTATAGATCGTTAGATTATTGTTTGAGGTTGACGGACACGCATGTCTTAATTAGTTTTTTTTTTTTTTTTTTTTTTTTTACGAATTGGTCAAACCCAAACTCAAACAAAAACATTGTTTACAATCGTTATGAGTCTATCGATTGATGAATAGAATTTTATTATAAACAATTGTCTTGTAAATGGAATTTTTAAAGCATTCTGAATGTAAAAAAAAAAAAAAAATGTGCAAGACAATAAGAAACACTACCTGCCAAAAAAAAAAAAGTGAAGTTTTGTTGAAATCGGTTGAAAAATATAGGTAGCCTTTCTGTAATTTTTTACAATTTATGATTTTTACTTATTGATTACAGTAAAAAATTGTATATTTTGCTTGTGGTGATTCATAATTAGAATTCTGATTTGAATATATTTTCCACTCGTTGTTTCTAATACAAAAAATATTCACTTTATTTGGTTTATTAATTTATTACAAGTACTGTGTTCTTTTTTAATAATTATCATCTTCGAAATATTGTTGTTTTTTGTCTATCAGATTTCTTACGTCGGCATTTTTTAAATTATTTCTTAATACTTTCTTTAAATTATTGAATTAATTTCAAATAGAACCAATGCCTTATTGATCTGCCTTGTAACAAATTGCAAAGGGAATTGTAAAAACGGCCCTGAGGTACGTGGAATTATCTTTCCCAAAGATAAAGAATTATCCGATTTTCGATTCGTACAATCAGTAGAGATCGTTAGATTATTGTTTAGGTTGACGGAAACGCATGTCTTAGTTTTTTTTTTACGAATTGGTCAAAGCCAAACTCAAACAAAAACATTGTTTTCAATCGTTATGATGAGTCTGTCGATTGAATAGAATTAGAATTTTATTATAAACAATTGTCTTGTAAATGGAATTTTAAAGCATTCTGAATGTATAAATAAAAAAGAAAAAGTGTGCAAGACAATAAGAAACTCTACCTGCCAAAAAAAAGAAAGTGGATGTTTGTTTTATCGATGAAAATGTAAGAAATCCGATCCCATATATAAATACACACACACACACACACACACACACACACACACACACACACACACACACACACACACAACCTGTTTTTTTTAACCAGATCTGAGTTGTCCCCTTTCATTCTCACGATGTGTGAATCTGGTGTTTCAAATTGATTTTGTTAAAAAACTATTGTGTTTTTCCCTTTTTTCGGCGCTGTTAGAACCACCACACGGTAATTTTATGTAGTCCTGTGAGTTTTTGTTGAAATTAGCTAAAAATGTAGGGAAATCCGATCCAATATATAAACGTTACACACACACACACACACACACACACACACACACACACACACACACACACACACACACACACACACACAATCTGCGTTTTATAATAAGTAAGATTTGAGCTTCAATCCTTCATGAGCTTCCGATCCTTAGATATGATTAATTAACCATGAACATGTCATTTTCATTTATGATCGTTCATGACCGATTACATCACGATTCTTCTGTTAAGTTTGGAGAGTAATTATACATTATTATGGCTCCAAGTAGAGTCCAATAGTGCTATAAAAAACCTCGGAGAATTCCAGTCAAATAACTTTAATCATTTTTTTTAAGATAGAACGGTTTAAAGCTTAATCTATCAAATGAACTATTTTGCTTTTACACGATTTGGACAGTTTTGCTGTTACACCCGACACACACACACACACACACACACACACACACACACACACATATATATATATTTATATATATATATATATATGCGTGTGTGGGGTATGCATTTATTCATTATCACTGAAAATTTATCGTCAATATCTCACATTTAAATATGGGATATTACGACTTGTTTTATTCGTTAGATTAATGACGATGGTAGGTTTGCTACTTCAAATGCGGATATACCATAGGACCAATGTATCTAAAAGGATATATTGTGCCGGACTCACCCGAATTTATTCTGAACTGTGCAATGTCTCGCATGATCACGTTCGACATATGCCTACTCCTTCCCTGTCTCCGTTATATACTCAAAAGAGCTTGGTTTCTGTTCGATTTTGACAAGAACCAAACTCTTGTCCGTCACTAGGATCGTTTTGGGCGAGAGCCATAACTTACATTTGCTAATATCATATTTACATTTCTCCTTGGACCTAAAGCTTTCACGGGATTGTCGATTTTTCACTTTGAAATGATAATCAATTCATAAGAGGTTAATATTAGATTAAACCACAAATAGTTGCAGCATAATTTGAATTTCTAAACAGAATATATAATGCGATTATACTGTTAACCACGGGTTTACCAATAACACATTTTGAAAAGTGGATTTGTTTGTGATGATGAAGAGAGACTGTAAAGAATTATGATGGCGTTTTGCAATCCGTTTTTTTTTCTATTTTTTTTCCTCAAATTCTGGAAAATGAAGCACAAAGATAATCAAAGACAGAATAGAAAATATTTTATTAAAATTGTCCTTGATTATAATTTAAAGTTCTGAAAAACTTTTACAAATGAAACCTGACGACCTACTGCTTTGTTGTAGGTTTGTTTTCATATCTTTTTATAGCAGCCTCGGAAGTAATTTATGTCGTATGGTGCTTTGAATATAAAAGTAAACCTTTTTCTTTTCTTTTAATAATTTTACTTCAGGTGCGTACGTGAGCACAAGCACACGAAAAGTTGTAGCGGTTATAGCTCGTTTATAAAATGTCATTCTTATGAGAATTATTTCAGTTTCTATTCAATGTT